TGGCTCAAGAAAACAGAGTGCCTAAATTGTGGAACCTTTCTTCTCATTTTTAATTCCCACTGAAAGAGACAAAGGCATTAAAAAAAAATTAGGAACTCTCTCAAGCTAGCATGGTTATTGCTAGAAGTGGTGATCTTGTTTTGTGTTATAGGCTTTGGTTATAGGAATTCAGTTTGATGTGCTTCTTGTGATTGTTTGTCTCGAGCAGTCTTTGAGATGGGGGTTGGGAGAAACTTTTTTTTCTTTCCTCTTGAATAACTTGATTACCCATCTCCCCTGTCCTTCCTCTCTTTGCTGTGTGTTCTACTTTCTGACTTTCTTTATAAATTATACATTTGTGTAGCCTCAGCTCTGCTCAGAGTTTTTATTGATGCACTGAGTCCTAATGAGGGCTCCTGGGAGTGGGTGGCTCTGTCCTCAACAAGTGGGAGAATAATGCATGTTATGACATCCATAGTGAACCCTTCGGTTCATTGTCTGTCTCTGTTTTATACGCTCACTTGTTTATGTGTGAGCCTCACTCAGAATGGGACAGATGACAGTAGATGGGCAGCTTACCCCACTTCATTTCTTCATTCTGTACATACTGACTTAGATGTTGTGGCACCACATCACCTGTGTCTTTTTAAAAATTAATTTTTTGGGGGGGTACAGGGTCTTACTGTGCAGCTCAAACTTGTAGTGATCCTCCTGTTTTTAGCCTCAGCATTGCTGGGATTACAGGCATGTGCCATCATTCCTGGACTCCGTCACTGGCTCAGAGTACTGGGGGTGGGGGTAGGAGGGGTGGGAGGTGATGGATAGGGGAATGGGCAGGGCCAGGCGGCATGTGGTGCTGGGGATCAAACCTCAGTCCCTGTGCTTGTTTAAGCAAGCGCTTAGTCCGCTGAGCTATCTCGCCAGCCCAATAGATGGTTTTTGTCAAATCCTTTAAATAGAAAAGTGCCAATAAAGAATTGCCTCATGATTTGATTTGAATTCTTTGGAAAGTGACAGGCATTATGTTTCTAATCAGGGGAGTGACTTAGCATGCATAAACAGGTGTGTTGGCCTATATACAATTCTTAGCCACAGATTTTCATCCTTGGGATGTTTCCACAACACATTTGGGGGCAAAACTTGGTCTGAACTTGGGTGAGGCAACTATGTCTGTATTTACTCAGTGAAAGCTGAATCTTAGTGTATTTCACAATGGTAATGTTAGTGCTTTTGAAAACAAGTATTGCTGGATGTCTCATGTGACATATAGTATAGGGACCAGTTTCTGGATTTTCCTTTCCTAAGTCTAAAAAATTTTGGGTTTCAAAATACATCTAGCTTCAGAGAACTCTAAAGAAAACTGCCTGGGGTTTTTTGTGTAGGAGGGGTGGTAACAGGATTATATCTGGAGTCTTTACACAGAGCTACATCTCTCCAGACCTTTTAAAATTGTGTTGTTTGGTGTGTTTTGTTTTGTCTTTTTTTTTTTTTTTTTTTTTTTTTTAAGAGTAGGAAGAATTTATTGAGAAAAAGAAAGCTTCTGTCTGAGAGGGACAGAAGGGGACCTAGAAAGTGGGCTGCCCACTAACCCCATTTCTCACGGGTATTTTATTGAGCAAAGTTCTGAAATGAGATGGGCTTAAGGTGGTATAGAACTATCATTAATCAGTAAGATTACAAGTATAGTTGCTTAGGTAATATTGATCCAATGGCTAATCATAGGGTGGGTGTGAGGTGATACAACTATGGTCAACCAGTAAGATTACGACAAGTATAGTCAGTAGGGTAATATCTATTAAATAGGGATCAAATGGGGAAATAAGTTGTGTTGCAAGTGCACACAGGCAGACAAGTACTTTCCTGGAAGGACCATACTCCATTATAGGACATCTACTAAGATGTCCTATAATGAGGTTAACCATAAATAATCGTCCCATATCTAAAAATAACCATCTTGCTATCTATGGTCATTGGCCCTCGGGATAGGACTCATACATTAATAAGGGTCCTACTAGAGGCCCTTGATAATAGAGGCTTCAGTGGCATTGTTAGAAAAAATCCTATTATGTGCAGCTTTAAGAGTATATAGACCACTCAGCTACTTTGTAATGATGGGCTATGCTATTAACCATTGAGCTCTTTCATAACTCATGAATGTAGTATTGTAGTTTATTCCAGTCATCTCCTTGGAGTGTGGATGCCCACCAAGAAAGTCAAGATGTACTGGACAATGGGAGCATGTCACATATCCAGGAAGATATGTGTTGTACTGACTGCATATTCTTGTGCCCACCTCAGAAAAGAATTATATTCTCCTTTAAATGGTAAAGTGATTAGTAAAAGGGCTAAGAATAACAGATTACTTATCTGAAGACTTTGTTTTTTTCTTGAACAATCTTAAGTCGTTGGGTTCACCATCGTGTATGTTCTTCAGCATGATTTTTCAGGATGCTTGTAATGTGATTCCTATCACAAAAATAAGCCCCAGTTAAGATTATCAGCCAGATGGATGACAGTTTTCTGTTGCAACATACAACATATTGAATTATAAAATTATATTAACATATGATTAAGTATAAATACCATTGTTGACATTAATACTTAAAGTAAGTGATAATACAAATCATAATTATTTAAAATACCCAAATGGGTGCTTTGGACAAAGGGTAAATAGTTATGTAAACAGGTGAACTTGAGACCAATTAGAATATAGACATTTTATGAATAACATGTGCACTTGATAACAAGACATGGTTGTTTCTGGTGTGCATCTTCCTAATTCAATGAATTGTGTGTTGTAACAATGCACTCTGATTAGGCTACATGGACAAGAAGTACTCACTTAAGGAGAGTTCTGTTGCTTGATGAGAAAGATTGGGGCCAGTGGTAGAGGAAATAGAGTTGCAAGAAATTCAGCCTGGAATTTGGGGTTTGGAGCATTACAACGTTTCCAAAGAAAATGACGTAACTATTTGAATAAATGTAGATTTTTGTATGTGAAGAAAATGAGACAGCTCCTGAAAATAAGCTCTACTGTTTTTTTTTGGAAAAAAAATTGATGTAAGACCTAGTCTTATTTTTTGGGAAATACATTAGGTGACTGACTTAAGGATATTTAGGAGCAATTTTTTTGCTTACTTTTGGAATTAGATTGCTAGCTGGGTATTAAACCAATACCCAGGTCTGTGACTGTGTATGCTTGAGTTTTTTTCTTTTCTTATGCAGTACAGTACAGGCTGTTGGGTTAAGTATGTACTATATAAGCAAAGGTGAATCAAATGGGTTTCTTCCATGTCTGCATCCTAGTAGTGTGGCTGTTTTCACCCTTCAGTGTGAGGACCAGACTGCTTACTTTTACTGCAGTCAAGGAGACATTGTCTTTATGCCATTTGGTGAGTTTGGAAAATGCATTGTTAGCAGGTGTGGTAATGTGAGGCCCTTTAGCATCTCATAGGACTGATTTTTGTTTAAGGAGCTCGGAACTTAATGATAATTTTTTATTTGAATAAGGGATGTTAGGAATGCCTCACAGATGCCATGTTCCCTCCATGACAAGGAAGAGGCAGGTGCAGCTCCCATAGAGCTTATTCCAAGACCAGCCCCTGTGCTCACTTCTTCATCCTTCTCCAAGTTGGGGGTGCTGCTACATTATCATGGCCCTTTAGTGAGGATTAATGTGGACTATGTGCACAGGCTGCAAGGCAGTATCTGTTAGGGTTGGATACTTAATAAATGGAGGCCATTACTAATCAGATTTGCTAGGATGGAGCTCAGCACCTGGCTATGAACTTCCAGACAAATTACTAAGCAAGTTCTAGCCAAGAAAAGTGCTCTGCCCCTTCCTTCATAGTCTACAGGCCTGAGACCCAAGGAGTCAAGCTGTCTGGTGAAGCTGGAGGTTGAGTTCCAGATAGAGGGAATGAAGCTGTAAGTGAGGGCTCAGGGTCAGGTGGCCATGTTGATTGTCCTGAAGGATGCAAAGTGACTGATGGGAAGCTGGGGTTTAATAGCATACTTTGCAGCTCCCCAGTAGCTCTGGGACTGATACAAATAGAGCAGTGAGCTCCCACATTTACAGCTTGGCTCTGCCACAGCTAGAGTCTTCCTTGGAGAAACATGGGTGTATTTACACACACTCACATACATGTGCAACATGAATAGAGCCCAGGCAGAGTTGGTGGTGGTTTCAAAGTTGCAATGTTTAGGAGATATTAGTGTAGTGGGATGAAGTGGATTCAGTGATGTACTGCACATGGAGTGCTGGTGGCTAGAAGGAAGAAAGGCTGGTGCCTGACTCTCAGGCTCTCTGCATTCTGAATGGCATCTCCAACGTTCCCCTTTGGAGGTTTATCTTTCAACCCTAGCACCTGCAAATAGTGGCTGGCACCTACCAGGTACTCAGTTTGTTGACCGAGTGAGTGGATGAAGAATGCCTTCCAGATTTTTCTCTCTTGAACAGCTGGTAGGTGGGGCTGTTTCCTAATATTGGAGTACCCATAAGGAAGCAGGTGTGGAGGCAGGCACAGCAGGTAACAGCCAAGTGTGTCAGTGTGTCTAGAAGTAGAAAGAAATCAGATGGCAAATATCTAGTGAGGGAAACATTTCCACTTGGTAAGGTAGGCACCATCTTTCATATGTAAAGAATACATGAAAGTTAATTGGAAAATGTCACTAATGTAAGTGGCATGACTATGAGTGGGTAGTTCACAAAATGTGCACAAACAGTGCAGATGTACCTGGGAAAGTGTCTGGCCTGAGTGCTACTTCAGAGCACAGCCTAAATGGACACAACAGTTTTCTTCATACAAGTCGAGAAAAGCCACTCCTGGCTTGTACCCATCCCCACTTGCCCATCTTATTCTGAGGCATGGCATTCAGAGACATACTAACCTGGGGCACAGGTAACAATGCTGACAGGGTGATTGCAGGTTGTGGGTGGGATGTAATGTTCTGGGAGATTGTGGGCTGGGAAATGTACCTATAAATCCATGTTGAAGTATGTTTTCCTGTTGTGCTTCCAGATGAAGACAGTCAGTGTGGCCTTAGTTCTGTGCCTGAATGTTGGTGTGGATCCCCCAGATGTTGTGAAGACCACACCCTGTGCACGGTTGGAATGTTGGATTGGTAAGTGCCAGCTCTCTCTGAGACCTGCTGGTGTAACTCTGAGGATTTTTTTTTTTGAAGTAATATCAAACTTTAAATAATTTTACATTCATTGATCTGTATTTTGTAGAGATGTGTTTTAAGAAGTTAATAAGATATGGATTGTGAGTTCTGCAATTTTTTTCCTTTTAAGGTTTTGTATTCGGCACATAATTGTAGCTATATACACCTGAAAAATTGAATGACTGGTAGCTGCATGGAAATGTTTATAGAAAAGGTAAATCGAGCTGTGTCTAGTAAAGCCCCAAATAGTACATGGTAAAGCATAGTAGACAGTGTCTGTCAAGTTGCTCAGTGCACCAGGCACTTTGAAGCACTTTACATTTATTAATTCCTCTGTCTCCAAGGTGGCTCTGTTACTGACCTTGCATGTTAGAGTCTAGAAAGTGGCATAGCTGTGATTAGAACCTATGCAAAATCTAGAGACTGTGTTATTTATTTATTTTTAGCTGCTCAGCTTGCCCTGAGGGCAGGGCTGGTGAGGCATATGGTGCTGGGGATCAAACTGCTGTACCCTGGGCCTACCTAAGCTTTCCTAAGCAGGTGCATTAGACCACTGAGCTATCTTGCTGGCCCTGTTATTTTTTAAAAATGAAATTGGTATAAAATACCACTCCATGCATTTTAACTTGCCTTTTTTTTTTTTTTTTTTTTTTCTTCCTTTTTGCGGAACCGGGGATTGAACTCAGGCCCTTGTGCTTGCCAGGGAAGCCTATATTCCACTGAGCCATCTCCCTGGCCCTTACTCCACGCATTTTAAAATGTACTTCTGTCGGTGGCATTGAGAACACTCACATTTTTGTGTAGCTGCCACTACCATCTGTTCAACATCTCAGTTGCAACTCTGTGTCCACTACACAACTCAACATTCTCATTTCCAGCCCCTAGAACTCCCATTATACTCTCTTGTCTCCATTAGTTTGACTACTGTAGGGATCTCATCTAACCGTTATCTTATAGTGTTTGGCCTTTGTTGTCTGACTTACTTTACTTTGCAGTATCTTAATAGGTCATCCAGGCTGTGGCATCTGTCAGAATATCTTGCCTTTTTAAGGGTGAATGATAATCTGTTGTATGGATGGTCTACTTTTTGTTTATTTATTCATCACTGATGAACATTTGAGATGTTTTCACCTTTTAGCTTTAGTGAACAATGTTGCCAAATCTGAGCAACTAATTTGAAAATAATGTGCAATATAACAACCATTGTTGACTTCTTTTCTTTTCTTTTCTTTTCTTTTCTTTTCTTTTCTTTTCTTTTCTTTTCTTTTTTCAGAACTGGGGATTGAACTCAGGCCCTTGTGCTTGCCAGGCAAGCACTTATTCTACTGAGCTATCTCCCCAGCCCCAAGTTCATATCATTTTGTTTAGCAAAATTCTATATCATTTCTAATGGTGTTTTAAAAACTTTTTATTCTCTTTAAAAAATAATATAAAATAAACATGTGCCTATTGGAGACACTGCTTTCAGTTCTATGTATATATCCAGAAATGGAATTGCTCTGTCACATAATGAGTCTAGTTTTAAACTTTGAGTAACTGCTATATTGTTTTCCATAGTGGCTGTACCATTTTCCATCTCTGCCAGCAGTGCATAGGGTTCTACCCTCTCCACATCTTTGCTACTTACTGTTTTGGTTTTTTTGGTAATAGCCATCCTAATAGATGTGGGGTAATATCTTGTGGTTTTGATTTGCATTTTCTGAAAGACTGGTGATGGTGAGTGTTCATGTGCTTCTTATTAGCCTCCAGAGACTGAGTCCATTCCAGTTATCTCCTATCCCAGCTGATTTTAATCATTTGTTTCTTCCCTCTTTATGCTTAGACTAGGTGTTTTAGGACAAACATTGCTTCTGGATCCTATATGAGCTCCTGCTGGGATACATGGTCCTCCTAGGATGTGCAGGTAGTGGTGTCTGAGGGTAGTGTTGTGCTTTCTCGTCTGAACAGCCTTGGCTTTTATTAGGTTCTCCAGGGTTCTTTTACTGACAGCCCCTAACCTTAAGGAACCTTACCCCTCAGTGTTTTTGATTATAATTTAGACAACATTAATGAAAATGAAAAGAATTTATTACCTTATTCTTTGTTTGATAGACTAAGCAAATAATATTGTGTGTGTGTGTTTTTTTTTTTTCTACAATTTAGGAATATAGTTAAGTTTGTAATAATTTAAAAGGATTTTGAGTTGAGAAGGACATGTCCTTTTTGTATTAGCAAGGCCACTTGCATGGTAGGAACAGTAACCCAAGGGAGGGGAACAGTTAGGACTCTGAGGTTACAGAAAGTACCAAGGAGGATGAGGTGAGGGGACAGAAGGAATCCTGGAGGAGGTTCTGGTACACGTTGTCAGAGACTGGGAGTGGGGTGTGTGTGGATTACACTGGCCTGAAGGGAGGCAGAGTGAGGTTGTGAAGCTCATGAGGCAGCGTGGCTGGTAAGGTGAAGCTAGGGGGTCCTAGAGAGGAGTGATGGGATCTGGAGTTGGTGATGGGTTCTTTATGGCTTTTTTTCAAAATCAGAGCACACGGGTACATAGGGGCATGAGGAAACCTTCCTTACAGCACTGGTGTGATCAAGTAACTTGCAAAGCTGTTGCTGTTTAGAAGGCAGTAATCTGTTATTTTATATTTGGCCTTAGCATTTTGTAGTCTGTTGCCAGAAATCAACAGCTTTTGTACTTCTCAGGGCTACAGCTGTATTTACTCCAGCTATGCTGCATTTGCTTGACTGTTTCAAGCTTGGTTCCACATCTGAAGATTGGCACTAATAACAGCAAACTTTTATGCCTGGAGAGGTGTTGACTGGACTGTGGAATTCTGTACAAGGACTGGCCCTTGGTGGGTAGTGCTGCCTGTCATGTTGCCACCAGGGCCTTCCTTCACATTTTCTTGGAGTGGCCTCAGTCCATTTGTACTACCATAACAATTACCTGAGAAGGGGTACTTGATCAGTAAAAGTTATCACTCATAGTTTAGGAGGCTGGGAAGCCCAAGACTGGGGTGCTAGCAGCAGGGCCTGATTTCTGCTTCCAAGATAGAGTCTTGAACACTGTCCTCACATTACGGAGAGGCCATGAAGAGGAAGGCCCCAACTTACCCTTTTATAAGATCACTGGCCTCATTCACAGGTGCTCTGCCCTTAATGACTTAGTCATTTCCTATGGGCACTACATCTTTATTCTCTTATTAGAATGCTAAGTTTCGGTGTGAAGTTTGAAGGATGCATTTACAACAATCTTAGTGTTTCTCCCCCTCTAGAGCATACCAACGTCACAATTCCTGAGTCTTACCTCTCCTGATAAGTTGCCTGTATGGTCAGCTACAGAGAAGCATAGCAAACATGCCCCATTCTGCTGGAATGTGATGAATCATACCTGTAAATCCCACTTGGGGAGGGGGGTTGAAGCAGGAGAACCACCATGAGTTCAAGGCCAGTCTGGGTTACATAGTGAATTCCAGGCCACCCTGTACTACATAGTGAGATTCTGCCTAAGAGAAAGAAAGAAAAGAAAAGAAACAAACCAACCAACCCCATTTAGCCCTGTTTTTTTTTTTTAATATTTATTTTTTTATTGAGAAATAAATATGAATGAGACAGTTTCACAGCTGATTAATAGGACAGTTTTGATAGTCAATACACTGTACATTGTTATCTTCTTAGTGGTTATCCGTGGTGCAAGAAGCAGACAGGATATTCTGTCCAAACACTGTTAGCACACCTCTTTCTTCTCATTGAGTTACGCGAAAGTAGCTGTAAATTTATCCTATTTTGTATATATAAATACAAAATGATCTTTCC